GTATTTTTAGTAGAGACTGGATTTCACCATGTTGGCCAGGATGGTCTTGATCTCTTGACCTCATGATCCACCTGACTTGGCCTCCCAAAATCCTGGGAGTACAGGCAGGAGCCACCGTGCCCAGCCTGTTTTTTGTTTTTTGGTCTTTTTGAGACAGAGTTTCACTTTTGTTGCCCAGACTAGATGGCGTGATCTCGGGTCACTGCGATCTTCACCTTCCAGGTTCAAGCTATTCTCCTGCCTCAGCCTCTGAGTAGCTGGGATTATAGGTGTGTGCCACCACGCCCGGCTAATTTTTTTGTATTTTTAGTAGAGATGGGGCTTCACCATGTTGACCAGGCTAATCTCGAACTCCTGACCTCAGGTGATCAACCTGCCTCAGCCTCCAAAAGTGCTGGGATTACAGGCGTGACCATCATGCCCGGCCCCGGCCAAGTGTTTATGTGCCATTCCACTACTGTATATGTTTGACTGCTTCTGGATGATGAGATAAGTGGAAAGACCAGTAAATTGCACAGAAATTAACCTATTACCTTACTTGTCTTACAATACCTTACTCATGATAAAATCAACTCCTCGATAAGATACAGTACAGTTATCCATCAGTATCTGTGGGGAATTGGTTCCAGGACCCCTTCCCCAGGATGTCAAAAATCCATGGATACAAAAGTCACATAAAATGGTGTAGTATTTGTATATATTTTATGCACACCCTCCTGTGTACTTTATTTTATTTATTTATTTATTTATTTTTGAGATGGAGCTTTGCTCTTGTTGCCCAGGATGGAGTGCAATGGTGTGATCTCTGCTCATCGAAAGCTCCTCCTCCTGGGTTTGAGTGATTCTCCTGCCTCAGCCTTTCAGGTACCTGGGATTACAAGCATGCACCACCACACCTGGCTACTTTTTAGTATTTTTAGTAGAGAATGAGTTTCTCCATGTTGATCAGGCTGGTCTCGTACTCCCGACCTCAGTTGAGCCACCCACCTTGGCCTCCCAAAGTGCTGGGATTACAGGTGTGAGCCACTGTACCTGGCCCCCTCCTGTGTACTTTAAATCACCTCTAGATTACTTGTAATACCTAATATAATGTAAATGTTATCCAAATGGTTGTTATACTGTATTATTTTTATTTATATTTTTTAATGTTATATTGTTATTTTTATTGTTTTTTCCCAATTATTTTAAACCACAGTTGGTTGAATCGGCGGATGTGGAACCTACAAATATGAAGGGCCCACTGTATCGAGTGTAACATCTTGGTAGTATGCACACTATTGGGTGATGCTGGCAGAGGCATGATAGGCAAGAAAAGTAAGTCTAGAACAGTGTCCATTACAGTAAAGAGCATCTGCTGTCCCCTTAAAGTATGGTACCATTTTGCCTCTTGCTGCTCCTGGCAAATTAGGCTCTCAGCCAGGTAAATCTTGGCAAATATGGCAAAGAGCATGGTTTTGAGCCCATAATTAAGGTTGTTCATCTAATTATCAAATGCTTGCTCTGAAGAAAATAGAAGATACTATGGCTTGGCTGACAAATTATCCCTGAGGAAAAGTGAGAGATCCCAGGGAACTCCTAAAAGATAATTGATGGGAAAATGGGGGGGAACTTAACTGGGCTCAATAAGCCGTGGTTTAATATGAAAGAGTAAGATTCAGAGAATTTTAAATTACATATTGACATTTAATCTGTGAGGTTATTGCATTCTTTTTTTGCGGGGAAGAATGGAGTTTTAAAAAATTTCACTAATAAAATTTTAATTTTAAAAAGTGCCCTCAAAAAGTGGGAGCCTGCTATGAACTGAATTGTGTCCCCCGCCAACCCAAGTTCATATATTGAAGTCCTAAACCCAGTGTGACTGGGTTTTTAGGAGATAACTAAGGTTAAATGAGGTCATAAGCGTATGACCCTAAATCTTTAGGACTGTGGTCTAGTAAGTACAAGACAGTAAGTATGAGAAAGAGAGAGATCTGCTATGAGAAATCAGAGCCAGCAGGTGGCTGTCTGCAAAGCCAGGAAAAGGGGACTCCTCAGGAACTGGAGTGACTGCCACCTTGATCTTGGACTTCCCAGCCTCCAGACTATGAGAAACAAAATTCTATTGTTTAAACCACATGGTCTATGGAATTTTGTTATGGAAGTCCGAGCTGACTAATGCAGGGCCTTTTGCAAGCATTTGTATCAAACACACATACTCCCCAAATCAGGGTTCACTCTGAAAGGTCCATCGAATTCCGTTCCCCTAAACTCCTTGTGCCAATCATATAATCTTGTTCCTTTCAAGTCTCTAACCATACAGCCAAATCATTAGCCACTTTTAGCATATTTCTCTTTCCTTGGGGCACAATAACCCTCAGTGGAAGGCTGGAAGGTAGAATCACTATACATATTGGTATTGTTATGAAGGACACTTCCTCAAAGGTACCCAGTCTCCCTGCATTCAAAGGGGTTAGTGATTCAATTGCTGGGTGGCCAAGACTTTTCCAGGCCTGAATTATATGAGAGAGAGGAAGAGGAAGACAGAGAAAGAAAAAAAAAGAAAAAACGGAGAGCAACAGGAGGAATAGAAAGAAGGAGAGAGAAAGGAAGGGAAGAAAAAAAGAAGGAAGGGACCTCTAAACATATAGTAAAGCCTAGGGCTGTGTATACCATGACCCATATAGGCAAATATGGCAAATTTTAGGCAATTTGAGCAACAAAAAAATAATGATGGTGTTGTAATCCCAGCTTTTAGAGGTCAAGGCACAAGAATCACTTGAGTGCCAAGAATTTGAGACCAGCCTGGGCAACATAGCAAGACCCCATCTCTAAAAAAAAAAAAAAAAAATGGCCAGGCACAGTGGCTTACACCTATAATCCCAGAACTTTAGGAGGCTGGGGCAAGCAGATCACGAGGTCAGGAGATTGAGACCATCCTGGCTAACACACTGAAACCCCGTCTCTACTAAAGATACAAAAAGTTAGCCAGGTATATTGGTGTGTGCCCTTAATCCCAGCTACTCAGGAGGCTAAGGCAGGATAATTGCTTAAACCCAAGAGGCAGAGGTTGCAGTGAGCCAAGATGAGACACTGCACTCCAGTCTGGGTGACAGAGGGAAACTGTCTCAAAAAAAAAAAAAAATGTAATTACCCAGGCATGGTGACACATGCCTATAGTCCTACCTGATACTGGAGCTGAACCTCAGGAGTTCATGGCTGCAGTGAGATGTGATTGCACCGCTGCACCCTAGCCTGGGGGACAGAGTGAGACTGTCTAAAATATATTTAAATGATGCCATTATGGGCTAAATTGTCTTCCTCAAACACTTATATGCTGAAGTTCTAACCCCTAAAACCTATGAATGTGACTGTACAATATTTGGAAATACAGGCTTTAAGTGGTTAACTAAGGTAAAATGAGATTATATGGGCCCTAATCCAATGTGACTGGTGTTCTTATAAGAGGGGGAGGTTAGGACACAGACAAAGGGAAGATTGAGTAAAGACATGATGAAGATGGCCATCTACCAGCCAAGAAGAGAAGCCCTCAGAAGAAACCAGTTGTGCTGACACCTTGATTTTTGACTTCTAATCTCAAGAACTATGAGGAAATACATGTCTGAACTTCAAGCCATCCAGTCTGTGGTACTTTATTATAGCAGCCCTAGCAAACTATCCCAGACGGTAACATACTACATCGGATAGTGTGAGAATTTATGATTGCTCACTGACGGAAGTGAATAAATGGGGGAAAGGAAAAGCACTTCCTTATCTCATAATAGAATGGCAGCTAATCAATATAGAAGGAATAATGTAATTAGAAAGTCACAGTCAGGCACGGTGTCTCATGCCTGTAATCCCAGCACTCTGGGGAGGCAGAGAAAGGAGGATCCCCTGAGGCCAGGAGTTCAAGACCAGCCTGGGCGACATGGCAAAACCCTGTCTCTACTAAAAAAAAAATATTTCAGAGTCTCACTCTGTCACCCAGGCTGGAGGGCAGGCTCTGCCAACTGCAAACTCTGCCTCCTGGGTTCAAGAGATTCTCCTATCCCAGCCTCCCAACAGCTGGGATTACCAGTGTGTGCCACCATGCCCAGCTAATTTTTGTATTTTTAGTAGAGATGGGGTTTCACTATTTTGGCCAGGATGGTCTTGAACTCCTGACCTCAGGTGATACATCTGCTTCAGCCTCCCAAAGTACAGGGATTACAGGCATGAGCCACTGCATCTGGCCTCTCCTCTCTCTTTAAAAAAAGGCTTGTTCTTGGCTGGGTGCGGTGGCTCAAGACTGTAATCCCAGCACTTTGGGAGGCCGAGGCAGGTGGATCACAAGGTCAAGAGATTGAGACCATCCTGGTCAACATGGTGAAACCCCGTCTCTACTAAAAATACAAAAAATCAGCTGGGCATGGTGGCGCGTGCCTGTAATCCCAGCTACTCAGGAGGCTGAGGCAGGAGAACTGCCTGAACCCAGGAGGCAGAGGTTGCGGTGAGCCGAGATCGCACCATTGCACTCCAGCCTGGGTAACAAGAGCGAAACTCCGTCTCAAAATAAATAAATAAATAAATACAAAAAGTAGCCGGGTGTGGTGGCAGGCGCCTGTAATCCTAGCTACTCAGGAGGCTGAGGCAGGGAGAACTGCTTGAACCAGGGAGGTGGAGGTTGCAGTGAACCGAGATCTGGCCAGTACACTCCAGCCTGGGCGACACAGTGAGATTCATCGTGGAAAAAAAATAATAATAATAAGCCTGTTCTCTTAATAAACGTCAAAGTTGTGAAGGACAAAGCAAGACTGGAGTAACTACTTCAGATTAAAGCAAACTAAAGAGACACAACTAAATGCAACGTGCAGTACTGGACTGGACAACTGGCAAACATGGAGAGTGGATTAAATCATACTATATCAAAGTTAAACTTCCTTGTGGTAATTGTAGTTATGTAAGAAAATAAGACTGTCGTCGCACGTCTAGTCTACCAATCAATAGCCACTATTCACAAGGCCGCCTCCCCTCCCTGGCTATTTAGTGATGAGACAGATGATACCTCCCATCACCCTCGCCTCTTGACATCCTCCCTATCCCTGCTTCAGGGGCTTTTCCTCTCTGACTGTGCCATACCCTCCACCTTCTCCCCTCCTGTCTCCCGGGTTCTATTCATCCCTGTTCCCTCTGCGTCCCGGTTCTCACGCTCTCTTCCGCTCTGCCCTCCCTGGCTCCTTCCACCTCCCGGCCGCTCCCTTCCCCCTCCAGGTGCGCACCTGCTACTGCTCGCTCTACTGCGCGTTTGCGCTCTACGCCCAAGGGAGCCGGGGCTGCAGAGCTGGAGAAACTTCCGCGGCTCCGGGCGCGGTTGGCTTAGGATCCGGGCTCCGGGGCTGAGACAGGTGTCTGTGCCACCCGCGATGGGCTGCTCCAGCAGCGCCCTCAACAAGGCCGGCGACAGCAGCAGGTTCCCCAGTGGTGAGCAGGGGAGCGGCGCCGCCCACGCCCAGGCTGGGGACTCGGGTGGGCTGGCTCCCCGGGAGGTCCAAAGGGTGTGCCCCGTGCCCCCCCGCCAGGCAGGGGCCGGGCCTCGTCCTGGAGCGATGCGAGCGGAACCCAGGACAAAGCGCGATTTCCTCCCAAATCTTGAGCGGCGCTGCTGTTACCTGGGGTGCGGCGGCCTTGGTGCCTGATGCGCGGGACCGGAGTCTGGGCGCTGGACTCACCCTGTCGGCTGATGGGATCGCGGGGAATTGGTGTTGAGCTCTAAGGACTTTCCCCCATTTACCCTCCCATTAGCATTTCAGCATCAAAGATGACAAAAGATGCGGAGAATCCAAACGAGCATTCACTCCATCAAGTAGGTTCCTGTACTCTGAATAGGTCAAACACACTTTCCCCTATCTTTGGCTTAAATATCTACTGAGAAGTATGTGCGTGACCAAAAGTGGTCATCACTGACTCTTTCTGAAGAAACTCAACAAGAACAGTTTTGAGCATCTACTATATAATATCTCAGTTCTTGGCTACATGCTGGAGATACAAGTGACCCTGTTTATGGAGATTGAGGGTGGAGATGAGACAGACAAGAAACACGTGAAACAATTGGCTAAGATTGTTTCTGACAGAGTATAAACGCAGATAGCCGAATTAGAGAATAACCGGGTTTTACACTTACTTTTCTTAGATTTTGAATGGCTAACCTTTTGGACAATGCTATGGAGGTTAACCAAACTCCCTCAAGCTAGTTTACAGCCTTCTGCAGGGTGAAATTTAGAGGAGATTGAGTGAATTCCTTTTCACAGATCTCTTAGCACCTGTGTTACTGCAGTAACAGAAATCTAAATGTCTTTCTCTCTGATGTTGATAGAGTGCACCAGATGATTACGAATGCTTTTCAAAGCTCAGCTACTGTGTCCTAGTCAAAAATATGTGTTGCTGTTATTTTTGTGGTGTATGATAATTTATTTCTAGTTTCCATAGATAACAGAAAGCAACGGCAAGTCAGGAAGTAAACAAAAAATTAAAAACAATATAAAAGTGATTCTGAACCCCTTCTCACTGGCAACAATGTGAAAAGATGGAAAAATTCTTTTTTTTTTTTGAGATGGACTCTCACTCTGTTGCTCAGTAACTTTTCTCTTAAAGAGCCCAGAGTTTCCATACTCCTAACGAGAGGCCAAAGCAAGGAGCAATTTCTCTGATGTTTCCTGTTTTATGTTATGAAATTAAGTAGAGTTTTGCATTGTGTTCTATGATAAATTTTTGTGTTTTTCAATATGAAAAACTGAGGGAAAACTAATGCTTCAGGAAGATACATTTTATTATTCTGACTTCTCTTACCCACTGCTGTCCTTTAGTTATCCTAGGAGAAGCATCCTGGTTTAACAATGATAACTGAGTCATCATTACATAATTTAAAACTGATTAAAACATGTATTTCAGGGAATGGAATTCTTGGGGAAAAAGTATTCAATAGGTGGAATGCAATTTTTAATCCTCTCAGAAAATAATGAATAAACTTATCTTAAAAAATATTTTATTATCAATATTGATAACCATTCCACATGAGTTACACTCTTCCATTTTTTATTCTTGCTTTCATTGCTGTTCTGAGTTTTCACAGATGTTATGGAGGAAATGTTAAAACACCTGACAACCAGTTCTAGCCTTTAGAAAATTAATCTAATATGCTACAGAAATTGCTCAACGCACATGTTAAATCAATCAACAGGTCTATTTGCTTCTGATCTTTGATCAAACAATACTCTCCTGTAATTAGATACTGTTCTGTGTTTGCCAACATTTTAACTTTGTGATCTTGGAGGCCCAATAAATAATTCATTTCTGTTTCTGCAACTTTAAACTTCTTTAAATCCTATACACACCCCCAAGTTTGTGTGTATGTACTTTTAGACAAAAACAGTCCAAATTTATTACATGTCTGGTACATGCATTTATTCACTGTACTCTCAGTGCCTAACATGTGGTCCTCAGTAATTATTTATTGAATGAATACTTCATTTAATCCTTATAACAATGCTATGACTAAGTATTATGGTTGTCCCATTTTTACAGATAGCAGTAAATAATTTACCCAAGGTCACAGGCTTCGAAGAATCAGAGCTGGGATTTGAACTCATATGCTTTGCTGGGCACAGTGGCCCATGCCTGTAAGCCCAGTGGCTCTGGAGGCTGATGTGGGAGGATTGCTTGAGCCCAGGAGTTCAAGGCTGCAGTGAACTATGATTCAGCCACTGCACTTCAGTCTAGACAACAGAGTGAGACTCAATTTAAAAAAACAAATGAACCTATATGTTTAAGCCAGCTTCTACTAACTAGATTTAAATCTGTTTTTGACTCAGATCACTCTGGATCCCCCTTAGGTGTGTGGTCACCCACTATAAAAACAATGAAATCAATACAATAAATGCATTATACTATGGTTGGTTTTTTTTTTGTTTTGAGACAGTTTCTGTCTTGTTTCCTAGGCTGGAGTGCAATGGCATGATCTTGGCTCACTGTAACCTCCAACTCCTGGGTTCAAGTGATTCTTCTGCCTCAGCCTACTGAGTAGCTGGGATTATAGGCATGTGCCACTACACCCAACTAATTTTGTATTTTCCATAGAGATGGGGTTTCTCCATGTTGGTCAGCTGGTCTTGAACTCCTGACCTCAGGTGATCCACCTGACTTGGCCTCCCAAAGGCTGGTATTATAGGTGTGAGCCACTGAGCCCAGCCTATACTATATATCTTATTTAGGGATAGAATAATCCCTTATTATGATTCTAAATATTAGTCTAATCCTTAAATAAGATATATGGTTAATGTGTTACACAAATATATATTTATTTTATTTTTTATTTTAAAAAATTGAGACAAGGTCTTGCTATGTTGCCCAGGTTGGTCTTGAACTCCTGAGCTCAAGTGATCCTCCCACCTTGGCGTCCCAAAGTGCTGGGATTACAGGTGTAAACCACCATGCCCAGCCTATGTTATAAATTTAAATCAGACAGCAGCTACTAGTAGGTAGACTATAATCTAGATAGGTAGAATAATCTATTCCATGGATTATATGGGGACATTTTCCCTGACCCATTAGATGCTGAATCTCACAGAACTCCTTCCCATCACCTCCTAAGATGACTGAGGAGATAGATGTGTGTGTTGGGGAGAACAGAGGTGGAGACTCTGATTGTAAACAGTTAGCAAAGTGTGTAACAAATATCAAAGTGCTGCTCAAAGTGTAGGACAGTGCCTAACATGTGGTAGTCACACATGGATTTTTATGAAGGGCCCTGAAATGTGTGAGGAAAGAGGTTTTTCTTTCCAAAGGATAATTAGACACATTGAGTTTGGAATTTCTTGTGTTTATGGAAGCAAGTTTTAAATAGTAGGGCAATTTCTGTTCTTTTGAGTGTCCTGAGGATTCAATATAATCTGAACAGAAATTTTTTTTTCCTTTTCTTTTGAGACGGAGTCTTGCTCTGTCGCCAGGCTGGAGTGCAATGGCGCGATCTCGGCTCACCGCAACCTCCGCCTCCTGGGTTCAGGCAATTCTCCTGCCTCAGCCTCCTGAGTAGCTGGGATTACAGGCACGCGCCACCATGCCCACCTAATTTTTTGTATTTTTAGTAGAGTCGGGGTTTCACCATGTTGACCAGTATGGTCTCGATCTGTTGACCTTGTGATCCACCCGCCTCGGCCTCCCAAAGTGCTGGGATTACAGGCACGCGCCACCATGCCCAGCTAATTTTTTGTATTTTTAGTAGAGACAGGGTTTTACCATGTTGACCAGGATGGTCTCAATCTCTTGCCCTCGTGATCTGCCTGCATCGGCCTCCCGAAGTGCTGGGATTACAGGTGTGAGCCACCGCGCCTGGCCAGAACAGAAATATTTTATTGGGCCTGTAATATTACTCACGCCTGTAATCCCTGCACTTTGGGGAGGCTGAGGCGGGTGGATCATGAGGTCAAGAAATCGAGACCATCCTGGCCAACATGGTGAAACCCCGTCTCTACTAAAAATACAAAAAAAAAATTAGCTGGGCATGGTGGTGCCTGCCTGTAATCCCAGCTACTCAGGAGGCTGAGGCAGGAGAATTGCCTGAACCCAGGAGGCGGAGGTTGCGGTGAGCCGAGATCGCACCATTGCACTCCAGCCTGGGTAACAAGAGCAAAACTCTGTCTCAAAAAAAAAAAAATTTTATTGACTTCACAGAACTTATTGTGCCCAAAGTTGTCTAGACATTCACATTCAAACCCTACTCCCAGTACCTCTAGCTCTCTGTTAACATGGATAATCACTGCTCCATTCTTTACTAATAATATACGTGTGATCTGTTTTGGCAGACTTCTTCCCCAGGTACTGCCTAAGCACCAAACATGGACAAAGTAAATAGGTGGTAATTATTGACAAGTTCATTGCTAGGTTAATGTGTACATTTCCACTGACAGCTATAATCATTTACTTGTTCTAACCTGAACTTTCACTAGCTGCTTGCTGTCTGTGCTGCCCAGGCAATCAGATGAGGCTTGAATTTCACACAGTTCTGTGAATTGTTCTTTGTACTGTAGTCATACCTTCAGTCTTCACCCAATATTTCACACTGTGACACTAGCTAGGTCATCTGGTCCTAACTACACAAAGCTTTTCCTTTTGAATTGAAGAACAAACATCATTAACATTAAACTTAATTTGTATAGGCTTTTCTTGCATATAAAAGTTATACAAATGGGATTTTTTTTCTTTCAAATATGTGCCTTTGTGTCCTTTCTGGAATCTGGCACATAGAGAGCACTTGGTATGTCTTTGCGGTAGGCCTGGAGATTGCATACAGCTAATTAAAATGGAATTTTAAAAAAACTACGTATATGGTTCAAAAATGTGAAAATATTTGGAAAAGGCAGGGCGTAAAAAGTACGCCTCCCACCCTGTCCTCATCATCTGTTTAGTTTGAATCACATCATGAATAA